ATAGACTAATTACTTTACCCATACCGGAAGCAAGGACCTGTGGTAAATTTTCATCTTGTGATTACTCATCTGAGACATAGGAGTACCAATATTATGTGCAATGATTTATCTTTCTTATAATTTGGTTATAGTAATGAGATAGCAGTTCAGGTGGTACAAATACCTAATTTCTGTGCATGTATGTGTCTGTTTTGCAATTTAAAGGCGCTTCTGATGTTCAGACCTTTAGTATTTTTCATTTCCATCCAGATAGTCTGAAATGACTTTTATGTTATTTTTCATTCAATCCTGAAGGAAGGTGCTATCTCCAGTCTCAAGGAATGGTTGAGCGATTCAGCAATTGGAAGCAATCCTGTTTTGCGATTGATTGCTGGAATTATATTTATGCATGAGCAGGACTACAATGAGGCTCTCAAGCACACACACTCTGGAGGAACTCTGGATTTGTATGTTACTATGTTTAGTTGTTTACCTTTATCCTCGATCTTTTGATGGTGTAGAATTTCAGTATTGAACCATATGGATGAGATTGGACAGCTGCAAATGTTCTATGAATTTTGATTGCCAGACAGCAAGTGTACAAGTTTATTTCTTGTGTGGTATAGCAACTGAAATCTTACTAGTGAAAAAGTAACTTCAAATACTACAGTTTCCTTTACACTGTTGATTACCTACTTGATGTGGTTGTAAGCTTTTCCTTTGCTAAAGTTCTAGAGCTTCAAACCTTCCATGACTATAGATGTTATTATGTTCATGTTGTTGAAATTGTGATGCTTTAGAGTTGGGCTATTTAGATGTTCATTTTTGTAGGATCAATGACAGATATTCAGTTTTTTAAGTGTTCTGTGATTTGAAGTTATGATATTGCTTACTCCCTCCATGTTCCTAAAGAAAGTCGCTTTGAGGTTGTCTTAAGTCAAACATTTTAAACTTTGACTACCAATAAATTCTTTTGAGTTGAGTTTGAAAATATGAAAGTGATGTAAGTGGATTCATCTCGAAATGTAGTTTAATAAAAGTATATATTGACTATATTTTATAAATATTTTATAGGAAAAAATAGCGGTCAAAGTTGTTTTTGGAGACCGTGTCGATGTCCAAAACAACTTTCTTTAGGGACATGGAGGGAGTATTGGTTTCAATTCTGAGTTTCTGACATTGCTGATTTGTAAATTCACTGTGAAGCTTGGTGTTTTGAACAACATCTTTAATACATCCAGCGTCCTTCAAACTTAAGCTGTTTGTTGATGGGACTTGCACTTGGTTACAGGCATGCATTGAATGTCCAGATCTTCATCAAGATGCATCGTTCAGACTATGCTGAGAAGCAGTTGAAGATCATGCAACAAATTGATGAAGACCATACACTGACACAACTTGCAAACGCATGGCTTGGCATTGCTGTTGTAAGTAATTTCACAGTCCAATGTTATGACATGCTGAAGTTTCATCTCTGCATTGGTCCAGAAACATGTGCTTTGACATCACCTTTAATTTTTGCAGGGTGGCTCTAAGATCCGTGAAGCTTATCTCATATTCCAAGACTTCGCTGAAAAGTACCCAATGACAGGGATGGTTCTAAATGGGAAGGCAGTCTGCTGTATGCACATGGGAAGCTTTGAGGAGGCCGAGACTCTATTGCTTGAAGCGCTGAACAAGGTTTGCACTGATTACACACATTTGCAGCAATGGGAGCTCTAAATCTTGTGAAATTTGTTTTTTATTTTCATTTGCTTTGGTGTTGCATAATGTTGTAACCGTGTAACTCTAATTTTCTATTATTGTAGGATGCAAAGGATCCTGAAACTCTTGCCAATCTAATTGTATGTAATCTCCACCTTGGCAAACCATCATCACGATTCCTCAGGTACAAAGTGTAACTGAAAAACATCTATACAGTTCTACTGCTATTCTGCTACTCATTATGTGATTGTGTATGTCTTCTCTTGTGAATTTGAATAATCCAGTAAATGCATGGTAAATTGATTTAGTGGTCTTAGAAATACTCTCTCCATCCCAAAATAAATCAATTTCTAGAATTATCTAAGTCAAACAATCTAAAGTTTAACGGAATTTATAGATAAAGGGCGTACCCAGTGCAGAGAGCTCCCGCTCTGTGCGGGGTCTGGGGAAGGGTGTCAGTGGCAAGCCTTACCCTCGCCTGTGCAATGCGAGGAGATCGCGACTCGAACCCGGGACCTTTCGGTCACAGGCGGTAAGACTCTACCGCTTGCACCAGGCCCGCCCTTCACGGAATTTATAGATACAAGCACATATATTTATGAGATCAAATTAATTAATATCATTAGATGCACTGTGAAATATAATTTCATGGTGTATTTATTTAGGATCATAGATGTTGGTACTCTTTTCTATGAAGTTGGTAAAACTTAAAATAGTTACTTAGGACAACTCTAGAAGTTGATTTATTTTGGGACGGAGGGAGTAACCCAGTTGATGAATGTACATGGATGGACAACTAGCAGACATTGTTCTAAATATAAACAACTAGGAAGATTGCAGGACAAATGTAGATTGTACCATTACTGTTTTTGGCAACATGTATTAAACTTCGTGTTTAGGGTCTTAAACATTTAAGATTAACAGTTAAATTGAGAAATGAGAACATAATTATGCATCAGAGACGATCATTCTAGTGCAATTAGCTTCTGTTATAGAAACTAGAAAGAGCTGTGACCTTGGAGTCTGGGCTCAGGTGTTGTGACGTGCTGGGATTAGGACCACAGGGACATTGTTGTGACTTGTGAGATATTTTTCCGATTCAATGAATTCGTCTGCTCTAGTCTCTTGCGGCCTAGCTGTGGTTTTTGGCCTCTGATCCTGATTTTGCAAATCTGGGATTAACAGTTTACAGCCACGTCTTCGTGATCTCAGATATCCTGACAAAGCCTTCATAACAACTTGAAACTGACCTATGTTGGCTGTGTTTACCAGTCCAACTTTGGGTCCACACGCATTCAAGAATACTGTTGTACTTGCTTTATATGCCACCACTAATATAGTACGAAAAATAAGTGGCAGAGTCCTATGAACTTTTGTTTTGGAGGGATGTTATAAATCACTTAGGGATACCCTAAGCTTCATTTAATTAACTCAATTAGTGGATTGTGACATATACAAGACAGGAGATTGATATGTTGAAAAGCTGAGGGCAACATCAAGACCGTAATTATATTATGGATAGATTCGAAACCGTTTGCTGGCGCACCCCGGATGTTATAATTAGAACTTTCCCTGCTTTGTTTTTGTGTTTTTACTTGGTCAGTGGCTAATACGATGCTTTCCTTTGGATTTGTCCAAAAAAAGTGTAACTCTCTTTCCATTTGCAGCCAGCTGAAGCTATCGCATCCGGATCATGTGCTCGTTAAGAACGCAGCATCATCAGAAGCGACCTTCGAGAGGGCCCTCCAAGCCGTCGCTTGAGCTCGACAAACCCCAGCCAGATTACAGAAAGCAGCACATTGATCTCTTTTTTCCCATTTTGAGTGTGTTAACCCAGTAAAGTATGGTGGTTTTGGTTGTCTGTCGTCGCTGTTAATGCGACTCGGCCAGTCTTGTACTACAACTGCTGTATAAACGGATATGTAGAATATTGAATCGTTACATCTATTGCCAACATCAGTATTTTGTTTTGTTATAGTAGATATATGCAATACTGTCAAGTGTCAACCCTTGTGGGCGACGATCTGAGAACCATACGTATAAATAACGTGACCCGTGTCTTTCTGGACCTCACAATAATTTCCTCATGTGCTTTAGGAAACGGAATTGTGACGTTTTTCGTGGTTGGCAGTGTGCTTATGCTGTTATTCGTGTCCAAGCAACGCTTGTTGCTGAAGAAACAGTCTGTACTATGTATGCTGAGATTGGGTGGGAAAAGTTGGGCAAATGCTCATCGCCTTTGGTTTAAAGAAACAAATCGATGATTCGCTGCTGCTGCTGCCTCGTTCAAATGCATGGAAGTCTTGCCGTTGCTTTTACAGTCGTACTCGTACTTGCAGCGCCTTTCTTTGGTATGCTTATATTAATGAGACTTCTGTTAAATGTCCGCTCATTTGCTCTCGAAAGTTTCATGCTTCATTTGTTTCTGGGACATTATTGGGTATTTTTCTTGATCGTAGTCTCTGCTCATTTCGTTGTGTTGATCGGTGTTTTTCGCCGCATGGAAAGAATTTCTGGAACAATGGAGATTTTATTCGACAGCAAAAGACAATAGTTTTCAGTTTTGGCACAGCTGAAAAGAATGTCATCCGGTAAATGCTACTCTCCACACATAACCTTGGAACCGGCTGGATTTTTTCCAAGGTCGAAAATGGGATATCACTAGTAACATGCATTTGCGCAGTTGTGCCAGTGCCACACACCTGACAACACTTGATGATGGGGTGGAACTTTCAGGTCAGGTCTATACAAAAGTTGAAATAACTTTGCTCGAAGGAAAATTAGGTGGAGTCCGAATTTTGTGTATGAAAATAAAATAATTGTGTGCGGAGTCTGAATTTTGTGTATGAAAATAAATAAATGGTGAAGACAACCAGTTCGTTAGTAGTACTATACTAGTAGCTATGAATAGTTGACCGATTTTGTCAACATTACACCAGAAGCATCATATATATTACACACGCACTTTATTCATAAATGTTCTTAACGACTACAAGCGGCCCTACCAAGGCCACAACTCTCACACTGGGTTTATGATACAATAATATTGGTACATGATTACAAAATAAATGCACAACCCACAGCTCCATGTATATCACAAGCCAGAGCTCATGTATATGAAGCTACATATGCTTAATAAGCGATATATGTATATTTGTGTTATATGCATGTATAACTTGAGTGATTTATCATATGTATATGTATACTATATATATAAACCCTTAAGAACCCAATGCATTGATGCATGCATGCGGATATTATAGTATAATGATGATACATCATATAGTGGTACATATATATGCAGATGATCAGTGGGCTTAATTTACGGGCAAGTGAAGCTGGAGGGCACGTGCTTGCCGCACTCGTTGACGAGCACGGAGATGGCGACGGGGAGCACGATGCTGACGCTGAGCGCCTTGGCCTTGATGGTGGTGCAGAGGCAGAGCGCGGCGTCGAGGTCGGCCACGCCGGAGAGCAGCGGGCAGCAGGTGTCGCTGGCCTTGGTCCCGACGACGGCGTGCACGAGGCCGTTGAGCGCGTCCACGCACGCCAGCAGCTTCAGCGTGTCCACGGGGCACTTGCCCGTCGGTGTGGACGGCGTCGGTGTCGGCGAGTAGGGCGGGGGAGGGCACGGCGTGGACGACGGCGGCGGCTTCACCTTCGGGGGGCGGCGGCGGCGGCGGCGGCGGCGTCGGGCAGTAGGGGCAGGCCGCGGCCTGCGCGAGCAGCGTGGCCGCGACTAGCAGGAGGGCCACAATGCGGAGGCGGTTCGTGGTCGTGGCCATGGCGCTCGGCGCGGCGCGGCTTGTAGCTAACTTGCTTCTCAGGTTGAGTACTGGTGCGAGCGAGTGGTGATGAAGCACAGGGCGGGCTGGGGCGCGGTTTATATAGGCGTGCGTGAGGCCGTGGAGTGGCATCGGCAATGCCCGAGCTGCTGCCATGTCTCACTGTCTGTCTCGGTTGCCAAGGTTGTGGCTGGCGTCCATCGACCGAGTTTGCTGGATGGGATCATCGTCGTTGCTTCGACGCCCAAGCTACTCATGGCGACTTGCTGGGCGATCCATCATCCAACGAGTTGTCCTCTCCTCGTCTCAGCTCGTTCCTGGAAACGCGCGCATGTGAGTGTGAGTGTTGTGAGGACGTGCAGTGGGTCCGCGGCATGTCGCGGTTGAATCGACAGCCTACTGGCAGACAGACGGCTTTTAACTGTCGCTCGACCGCCCGCACTGCACTGCATGGTTGTTTTGTTGTATATGGACAGAACAAACTTTTAGTAGTTTTCCAGCCCTAGCTTGACGCGGTAACTTCGTTCGCGTAGTAAACACGACGACAGGACGAGCAGGACCCGTGCATACGGCTGGGTGAAAGAAACCTTACCCTGATGACGTCTAGCCAGCTAACGTGCATACAATACATCCTACTACCAGTTACAATATCAAAGTCTCAAGTAAAAAACAAATGAACTGTGTACGTAGTGCAAGAACTTGAGTAGCTAGCTGGCGTGATTTTTGTCTTTGTTCTTCTCTGCAACACGCACGCACTATGTGTATGCTTGCAATCCGTTTGCGATTTTGCATGGGCCCTTACACTCCGATCCTCCATTGGCAGTTTGGCATTATCTTCAGATATTTCTTCTTTAAAACTAAAGGCTAGATCGCATTTATATATTTTTGTATTGATATTTCAGCCGTCGACAATCATCGTATATATTCTCTTCATCATTCAAGACCGAATAAATGAGAGCTTAGCTAACTCCACGTAACACTATACCACAACACTCATCTATAGCGATTCCTTTTATATCACTATCAGTATCAGTGTTCGTCTACACAACCGTTTAGCCTGTTTACACGCCGTGCAAATGCTACACGACCTCCTATTTACACGCCGTGCAAATGCTACATACACGATGGCTTGCCGCTCGTATATGTTTAATCAGTCATTTATCTTGTTTCATCATTGTTTACTCCGTTTAATTGGCCATTCAGCCCGAATAGATAGTTAGATGATAGGTGACCGTTTAGTCTATTTAAATGTTTAGACTAACATTGGTCGATATAAGCTTTTATACCGACCGACTGTTAGACATTATTGTGTAGATATATCGATTGATAGTTTGACATCTATTGTAAACTTATACTGATCAATAGTTTGATGATATATATTTGTAATGACCAACTATCCAACACTAGGCATAATATGGACTAATTAGTCTTACAGTAACCATATAACATCATCCATTTAAACATTAACCATCCAAGCTCATGCTAAACATCAAATACCGAAATGGCTAAACCATGCTCACAATTTTCATTGAAGCCATCAGCATTTGTATTTGTACAATGTTTTATTAAAATACCCACAACCAAGCTAGATCACTTAAGTATCTACACAACTAAGATGTTTGTCATGTATAGCCCATAACTCACAGGTATTGTTTGCACAATCATAAAGTTCTTTTAAAAACCGTTTCATCTCTAGGAAGTCATGGAACAAAACAACCACTATAAGCACTTTGATCATATTTCTCAACAAACTATATATATCTACCTGAAAATCAAAACAGCCATTCAATTCATCAATAACATTACCTAAATTTGCCTTTTTCCCATGGAAATAATTGTCACTATGTCCTGGGCTGTCTGGATGGTAAGAAATTATGTCCTCTTCAAAAGCATACCCCATTCGGTTCATCGATGCAAGCAGATCTTCAAGAATGAATTTGCTCTAGTTATGTTAAGAGCAAAAGCTGCATACCCCCCCTAGGATTGATTTATGGCTTCAAGCCTTTATGTAATTGTGACAGAACCGCCTAATCTAATGCCTCACAGGAGTGCTCGTCTTCTATTAGACACTAAGCACCCAAAGGAGAACACTAAATTACTCGGTTCCATCAGGCACGCCCCAGGGGAGAACCCGAAAATCCACATTTTTGCCATCAGGATCACAAATGAGAGATTAAAGCTTACATCATTCTGAACCATTTCTTACATCACTTTTAATACAACATCAGAGTATAATATTTATTAATATAACAGCGGAATGAAATCGTATTATCAGAGTTATGAATAATTTAATTTAACAGCGGAATATAACATATGATCAGAATGACAGCGGAAATAAATATCTATTCATGGCATGATGAAGTATTGATATATAAGCTAGGACAACATATCATAAAACTTTCTTTTATAAAAACATTTGGTGAGAGTTATAAATAAAAACTACGATCGCAGCGTAAAGGAATCCTCGCTGAGCCCACCAGGAGGAATCCACACACAAAGGTCAGCTCTAGCCTCCACTTGTCACCTGCAACAGGGGAAATAAAACCCTGAGTACTCAATTGTACTCCGCAAGACTTACCCGACAGGAGAAAAGAAAAGACTCCAAGGATATGCAAGGCTATTTGGCTTATGGGTTTATTGCATTTGCAGGAAGCATTACTAAGCTTGCGTCCTTATATTGGGTTTTTATTAATAGCCGCATTGGTTCATTAACTAACCATTCTATGTAAGCACCTGTGCTACTTTCAAGCATGTGGTAAGCAATCAGATTTCCTCTTTCCATCTTCCATCTTTCAGTTCTTACTATGATGCTAAACACGAGACAAGCCGTACCGGATCGCCCGGCGATTCGCGAATCAATGCCCCCAGCTGGGTACCCCAAAAACACACGCCCCGCTTGTACCCCAGGCACAAGCAGGACCAACCCATCACTCTCCTGTCCCGGGTGTCCAGGTCCCCGTCCAAACTGGGACTCCAAACCCACGCCCCTGAGTCTCGGACTCAGTGCGGTGCAAGGACCTTCTCCACCAAAAATAAACCCTAACAATCGGTCCGAAAAGAGCCGGATTCACGACAAGAGAGCGACAAGTCTTCCAAACGCCCATACACAAGTATGTACTCGGGATAATAAGTCTGTGACTTGCCTAGATGCCTTATGCAACAATCGGGCCTTAACCGACCAGACAGGGAAAGCAGTGTAACCAAGCCATGCCCCGTGTCCACGGCGACACAACTTCTTACACCCACCAATACCCAAACCATATCCCTGCCCGGTCACCATTTTTTCTTTCCACCATTTATATATTTTCCAAGTGATGATAATCCAATAATATATTTCCTATATCTCGCGAGTGACAGGCAATCACTCGACTTCTACCGGAGTCCTGTAGCATAGCAATCTACACGATCCTGTCATACTAGTAAGACTCATAGGCTAAAGATATATATGCAAGTGGGTTTCATTCAACTCCTTAAAACTTAATGCACAAATATAATTTAAACTGCAGAAAAGTAGGGGTTATGCACCGGGGCTTGCCTGGGTAAGATATATATTAAAAGTTAGTATTTGCATCTTCAGATCATCCACCATCATCCGAATAGAAAGTCCATTGCATCATCTCCTGGAGAGAATACCATCCCACCATCTACAGATTCCCAATCATCCTTCAATCGATCCGTTGATTCATCATCGTACCTATATGATATGCATGTGATGCAAATGCAAAGATGTAATTAATCAACTGCAATCGTGACTCGTAAAATACGACGTACGCCCCTCGAGTTAACAGCTAGTTTTAACGATGACCGTACGTAGGCTATATATACAAGTTGTCGCATAAGGCGTTATTTTCCAACGATTATTTTAGTTATATAACCTAAGGTGTTTCTTTATTTTTATCCTATCGATTTAACCATTATTCGAAATAGGACATCATTATCTATCTAGCAATCAACTATTCTGGAGCTACAAAATTTACGCCGGGTACCTAATATTGCTAGGATTCTACTGTAAAGATTTCAGATCCAATGCTATTACCAATTTATCACGGAAGTTCCTACAAGTTTATATTTTATAATATTAAATATCTTAGATTAATTATATAGCTCCTAAGAATATCATCAAACTATGTGAACAAAATACACTATTGGATGGATCATGATTTTAGAAACTCAACCAAACTGGTTTGGTATTTTTGTGACTTTTCTATGATTTATTACGAATTTTACAAGTTCCCTGTTTTTGATAAAAGAACAATACTAAGAAAAGGAAAAGGACCGCTTGGGCTAACATCAGCCCCGCTCGGCCCACGCGCGCAGCGACAACAAGTGTGGGCGGCACAGCCGGCCCAACACGCGGCGAACGGCCCAGACGGGGCACAACGACCGGCCCGCCCAGCGGCGCACACAGGCCGCAGCCCAACAGAACCGACGCGGCCTGCGGCGTGGCGGCAACAGGCCGGACCAGCGATGGCCCAAGGCCAGGAGGCCCGCGCGTGCCACCGTTTAGCAGAAACGACCTTAGATTCCGACGAATTTAACCCATAGTCCTTTCCACTATTGCGCTCTTTCACTGATGCTTTCACCTAGTCCCCAGTCTTTTTCCTTATTCCAACGCATCAGCCCCCCCCCCGGCGACTCCACGCGCGACGGCGTGGCTCCGACTGGCACTGCCTCGCTGCGCCGGTCAACAGAGTGAGGCGCAGACTAAAGTAACAGGCCGATGAGCACCGCGGAGCCAATACGAGACCCAAGATGCCGAGTAGAGACCGAACGGTGACTTCTAACGCTCTGACCACGCCGACGGACTACAGGCAATAGCGGCGCAACTGTTCCGGCGTCCTGCGACCTCGGAGACTGAAACGAAAGGATGTGAGAGCAGCAGGACCTTACCCCGGACACGGCTACGATATCGGCTGGAGCAGAAACGGCTCGTGCTAGGCTGGCCACATGCACGGTGAAGGGCAGCGGCGCTCTGAGCATGGCGTGGCCGTGTCAGCTCG